CTCGGCCATCACACGGGCAGGTGCCAGACCAGACGCTGGCCACTCCCCATCCAGTCCCAGCAGCAATGAATACCGGGATTGAGCTCCTGGCCCCCCAGCTCTAGTGGGTATCAGTCACAGCCCAACCTGTGTCAGAGGTCAGCAACTGTGGCCTGGGGGGGCCAAACATGATGCACCCCGTCTTGGATGATTCATTTAAGAATGACCTGGAGCCCACTATGCACCCCAGACTGGCCTCAAACTCTGAATCCTCCTGCCTTTGTCTCCTCTGTGCTGGCGTGTTAGGTATAGTTGCAACCACATCTGGGTTTTGCTTGTTTGTTTTTACATCTTAAATGATTGGGGGGGGGGAACCTTCCAAAGGATACTTTGTGATATATGAAAATTATATGAAGCTTATATTTTAGTGTGTATAAATAAAAATAGGAACAGTGCTGCCCCATGGGTTTATGTCTCTATTATTGCTTAGTTGCCATGGGAATGTAGAGTCCACAAACTATATATATTTATTTTTTATTAATTAATTTTTTAGTGACTAAAGCAATGACATTTTATGTGTCATTGTACTTGGCTCAGATTTGTCCCTTCATTACCCTCCCTTTCCTTCTGCCAGCTCCCACTACAAAATAGCGAAACTCATATCTGGCCCTTTGCAGAGGGGGTCAAGCACCTCTTTCACAAATATGAGGATCTGATTCGATCTCCAGCACCCATGGGGAAAATGGAGCATGGTGATACAAGACTGCGATTCCAGCTCTGGGAAAGCAGACAAGAAGACCCTTGATGCTTGCCAACGAGCAGTCAGACTGGTCAGGTCCAGTGTAGTGAGAGACCTTGTTTCAAAATATAAAGAAAAAAATAAAATGGAGAGAAATTGAAGGAGAGAGCCAGTGCGGACCTTTGGCCTCTACATGCACACACATGCACACACATACGGAAAAGAACTGACTGTTTAAATGTAGTGAAGACTGTGGCAACAGAGACCCTCTAGGCATTCACAGCAGGGGTGTCTGCCAATAGGGTAGCAATGGAGTCTGGGGGACACTGAGGGCCGTCACAGGTCATTTGAGACCCGCTTGCCTGTCTCCTCCTGCAGCGACTGGGAAGGAGGCGTGACCAAGGCCAGCCCAAAGTGGACAGAGTGGGGCCAGAACGGGGCAGAAGCAGGCCTGTACACTCTGCACTTTATGGCAGCTTTGGTGCCCACTCCTGTCCACTCTCCAGGTCGCTCAGACATGACAGACGGACTGTGGCAATGTCTTCCACGGAGTTCCTCATTGGCACAAATCAGGGCTTCAGGCAGTCACTGTCAGTCATCACAGTGCACATCAGGACACACGCACCTCTGACACCCTGTCACCTGGCAGTGGGGCCTCTTAGCACCATTGTGGGCTTTCAGCCCTCAGTGCCAGGCATGGATTTTACTAGGCAGACCACCCTGGCCACTCAGAGCCTGCTGCAGCTGCTTAAGAGAAGGGTTTTCTGAGGTATGGCATGCAATCAACACCCTCCACAACGCTGCCAACCTGGAGAGTGGTCTCTTTCTTCTCCAGGACCCTTTAAATGAGCACCAGTGAATTAAATCACCAAAGTGACATCAGGTTTCTAATGGGGTTGCCCCTTTCCTCTCACAGGCAAGGTTGCTGGGCATCACTGTTTGCAGAAATGCCATCCAGGAAAAAAGCAGGTAGCCTCCCTCTTCACACGTGGTTCCCAGACCTCTGCCCCATAGGTGAGGTGGAAGGCAGGCTGGGTCAGGTTCTGGAGCCTGTCCCCAAGACACTTACAGTAGGAGAGAGGTGGGACTCACATAGAGGGAGCGACTTCAGATACAGAGGATATTTGGAGTCCTGTGCTGTGATCTATACTCATCAGGAGAACGGAGTTAAGGAGAGGAGCCTAGTTTTAGGCTCCTCCGTGACTTAACAAGATGCCCCGGGAAAGCACAAGCCTTAACGTAAAACAGACCTAGGTTAAAATTCCAGCCCATGTCCCTGGCTACGTGCCTTTGAACACTTTCTAGCACTGCTCTGAGTCCTAACCCAGCCTCCTGGGAAATCCCTGAGGGTCAGAAAGCACATGGGCTGGCATAAGGAGCCTGAGTCAGGCAGGTCCCACAGAGCAGTGCTTTAGCATGGGACTTGTCCTCAACACTCAACTGTGCAGAGCTCTGGGTTGGGTTAGGCTACGGGACTAGCAAAGAATTCCAACTGTTTTTCGTTTTGTTGAGATAGGGTCTCACTAGGTAGCTCAGGCTGTCTTGGAACTCACTATGCAGACCAGGCTGACCCCAGCTCAGAGATATTCATCTGCCTCTGCCTCTTGAATGCTAAAGGTGTGTACTGTTACACCTGGCTTGTTTTGATTTGTCTTCCATCCAGACGTTCGTAGTCTCACAGGGAGCATCAAGCTTAAGACAGAGAAGACAGTGCTGTATGTATCTGGTCACGTATCTAGGAGGGCGAGCAGGAGGTAGGCACCAGCTCTTGATGGAGAAATAAGTAAGGAGAGGAGAGAAACCAAGTTCTGCAGATCTCTGTATACCAGTAGGACCACGGGTTTTTCTCCTTAATACACACATGGTTCTTTATACCTTTTGCTTCCACACCCACAGATTCACCTACATACACATCAAAAATGCTTTAAATAAAACTGTGTCTGTAGGGGCTGGAAAGATGGCTTAGTGGTTAAGAGCGCCTGCTGCTCTTGCAGAGAATCCAGACTGAGTTTTGAGCACCTATACGGTGGTACAGACATTTGTAATTCCAGTTCTAGGGGATCTGGTAACCTTTTCTGACCTCTGGCACTGCACAAACATGACACACATACACACATGCAGGAAAAACACCCGGACACATAAAGGAAATAAATGTTTAAAAATTGTGTCTGTAGTGAATATGTACAGACTTTCTTGCCATTGTTCTTAAACATTATATCATAATAACTATTTGCATAGCCTTCTCATGGTTCTGGTTATTATAGGTCATCTAGTGAGGATTTAAAATATACAGGAGGGCTGGGGGTGGTGGCGCAGGTCTTTAATCTCAGCACTCAGGAGGCAGAGGCAGATCTCTGAGTTCGAGGTCAGCCTGGTTTACAAGACCTAGTTCCAGGACAGGCTTCAAAGCTACCTGTCTTGAAAACCCTGTCTTGAAAAACAAAACGAAACAAACAAACAACTATATACAGGAGGATATGAGGGTTATATGCAAATTCTAGGCTATTTTACATAAGGGCTGGGTATCTGCAGTTTTTGCTGTCTGCAGGGGTCCTGGAACCAGTCCCTAGTGATTACTGAGGGACAATTATAGTGAACTAATACTGTAAGTTATATTGATTAATTTTCAACATCAAGTGAGCTTTACCTTCTTCAAATGAATCCTACTTAGGTTCTATTATTCCTTTTCTACACCACTGGGTTCAATTTGATATTTTGCATCCACATTCATGAGAGACACTGTTCTGTGGTTTTCTTTTCTAGTCATGTCTTTGCTTGGTTTTCATATAAAAGAAAAACTGGTTTTACAATAGGAATGTTCCTAACACAGATATGAAGCTGCTTTCTTTCAGGGTATATTATTATGAGCACGTGGGGAATCCTTGGCTTAATGCTTTACACAAACTGTGTCCATTTCTGTCTCTCTTGGCCATGGTCTCACAAAGATATAGCTCAACCAGTTACTGGGGTGACACCAGGTAAAGAGCATGCTTCATTGAACATCTGGTACCCTTATCTGAGCTATGGTTTGTTCCTGACAAAACTCTCTGATGGTACAGGAAAGTGGGACTTCTGAGGGGTGTGGCCTAGTAGGACTGACTGGATAGGGACACTCTTAGGAAGGGGTTGGGAATGGCTTTGCATTGGGTCTTACATGCAGGAATGTTGACAGAGGTTTCTGCCCGGTCCTGCAGCCTTTCAGTCCCAAAGAAACACACAGAGGTCTACATGAATTATAAACTGGTTGACCTATTAGCTTAGGCTTCTTATTAATTCTTATATCTTACATCTTAATCCATAATTCTTGTCTGTGTTAGCCACGTGGCTTGTATCTTTTATTAGCGAGGCATTCTCATTTTGGTTCCTCTTGGTCTGGGTGACAACTGCAGACTGAGCCTTTTCCTCTTCCCAGAATTCTCCTGTTCTCATCACCCTGCCTCTACTTCCTGCCTGGCCGCCCCACCTATAATTCCTGCCTGGCTACTGGCATTTTATTAAAGCATAGGTGACAAATCTTTACAAAGTACAAAACCATTGTCCCACAGCACAGGAGTGGGTTGGTTCTGGGAACGGTGGGTTTGCTGTATGAGTGAAGCAGACCCCTCCTTCCTCTTTTGCTTCCTTGTTTATCATGGGATGCCTCTCTTTCAGGGGCTTCTGTCCATCAAGGCTCTGATACAAGAGCTCTTCAGAAGTCAAACTTTCTGCTAAGCTCCTAAACTTCCAAAACACGAGTGCAAATAAACTGTCTTTTCCTGCCTTCATTCCTTCAGTCCTTTCTTTTCTGCAGTGTTGAGGCCTTAATTGAAGATCTCCCACATGCTAGGCAAATGCGCTCCATCTGAGCTGTATTTCTAACCACTTTTAACAATAGAGTATTCAGCTTCAGGTATTTCACTATAGTAATTTTATAACTCTTAAATATTGAAAACAGAGTTTCTAAACAGTGGTGGGATTGGCGTTTTGGGTGGAACAGTTTCCAGGCATGTTTGGAAGTATCCATGATCCTGGTCCATCAGATGTCTGTAATAACCTCCTCAAAACCATCATTGGTAACTGTCTTACAGTGTCAAAATGCTTTAGATTTAGACTATGTAGGCCTCAGTTTGTATTCCCATCTCACACGCTGAAAAACTGCTTGACCATGTGACCTCAAATTATTTCCTTCCGCTCCGGGCCTCAGTTTCCTCAGCTGTACTTGGGGGGAGTCAGGAGTCAGCTCAACATCTGTTGACCAATTCTTCCAGGCCTCCTCTCCACCTTTGTTGTCTGTCTTGCTTACCTGTTCAGGAAGATGCTGCTGACGTCATCGTGTGTGATGGGAGGTTTCTTAGAGCTGGCCGCCATGCGTAGTGGGCGCAGAAAATTATTGACAAGGATGTGCAGTTGCTGCACGTACTCGGCCTCAGCCTCCAGCATACTGAACACCACCTGGTTCCTCTTGCGCATGCTGTCGGCGTGGGGAGACCGGATGTAGTCCTGGATAACGGTCTTCCACTTCCGCCGGCACAGCCATCCCCGAAGGAAGCTCTGTACCTGGTGAAGACCAGTTGGGGAGGTTTAGGTTAGTATCAGTTACTCTTGTTGTTGTAAGCTGTGTGTACCTCAAGGGCAGGGAGTTAGTCATCCCTGCTGCTGGGAGCAAAGGGAAGAGGAGCTGAGATGTAGAGCAGGCTTTGCTGCCTGTGAGATGCTGAACATGCTCTTTGGGCCCTCTGAGATAACTTTTCTACCTGTGAAATAGGGTCAGGGAGCATCACCGCAGTATGGATTAGATGGCTTGTTAGAAGTGTGGATTCTAGGGCCTGCTCCAGGCCGCTGCATTTGAACAGGTTCCCTGATCGCTTTAGAGGGGCAGAACGGAGGAAAAGCAGACTAGCGTGGGGAGAAGGATTGCTAGGCTCTGCTTGGCATGGTTGCGTCTCGTCTAATGACTCTTCTGAGAGCTCAGAGGTTTCAATTAAAGTTTGACTGGAGAGGGTAATTATCAAATTGAACAGAACATGGCAAATCTGCTCATCTCTAGCTCTTCTGTGGCTTTGCAGCCTGAGTGCCAGTCTGGAGCCTCTCCTGAATCAGCAGGGAAATGAGTCGGGCACTTGCTCAGTGGCCTTGAAGTTGGCTGAGAGAAGTGGCCTCTGACAAGTGGCAGGAGCTTGGGAAAGGGTCTTCACTCACGCATGTGCCTTGACACACACACAGACACACACACAGAAATACATACAGAGAACACAGACACACATAAACATACATACTACACATACACACAGAAACAGAGAAACACACACAGATACTGGCAGTTATATACCTACACAGACACACAGACATATACACATAGCCACAAGTCATGCATACACAGACATATACACACAGACATGTATGCAAACTTACATGACAGATACACATAGACACATAAAGACACACAGATGTACACTGACATACTCATACAAGCACACACATGTGGGGATCCAGATACAAATAGACATACACACAAGAGCTGTCTACTTTTATGTCATCTGGACACAGCTAGAGTCATTAGAGAGAAGGGCCTCAAATGAGAAAGGGACTCCATAAGATTAGGCTGTAGGCAAGACTGTAGGGCATTTTCTTAATTAGTGATTGATGTGGGAGTGCCCAGCCCATTGTGTGTGGTACCATCCATCCCTGGGCTAGGGGTTTTGGGTGCTATAGGGAAGCAATCTGGGCAACCATGGGGAGAAAGACAGTAAGCAGTACCCCTCTATGGCCTCTGTCTGAATCGGCTTTTGCCTTCAGTTTCCTTCCCTGTTTATGTTCCTTCCTTTGCTTCCTTCCCTCAGTGGATTATGATATGGAAGCCAAATATACCATTTCCTTCTGAAGATGGTTTGGTCATGGTTTTTCAACATAGCAGCAGAAACCCTAATATACAAATACACACATAAAGACACAGGTACACACACACACACACACACACACACACACACACACACACACACACA